TGTTTAAGTGTGTGTGTGTGTATGTATGTAGTGCAAATGTATGTATGTGCGTGCGTACGTATATATTTGTTAATGATAGATAGACTAAGGAATTTTATTACTTATAATCAATACATTGTAGATATGATCACTTAATATTCCCTAATCATTATCTTTGTTATGAAAGAGGGAACAAATTAAGAACTTTCGTCTGAATTTGGTTGAATAGTTTCACAATATTTGAGGGTCGAGTTAATGTGATACATTGAAAAGAAAGAATGTACTTGTTTTTGATGAAGTTTTGTTCTATGAACTGGATGGTTTGGTCATTATCAGCACAAAATTCAAGTACCTGATGATAGCGTTTAGAAGAATGATAAAAGTTCCATGAATAAACCATCCAGATAGAAGAACAAAACTTTATCAAAATCATCCACCTGAGCTATAAATCTTCTCTACTAGTCAATCAGTCAGCTATAATGTAGGACCAGGCACATATGTGCATCGCTCCAAGTTGCCATACCTAGTTAGCACAACTACATGAACACCAGATTCATAGAGGTAGTTACTTCAACGGTAGTAATATATAAAAGAAAGATTGCATATAAAGATATAGTACATGAAGAAAGAATTAGTTCGTAGAAAAAAAATGAAGTGATTTTAGTCTCATAGTTTAAGGGAAGACAGGGAGTGTATACACCGACGCCATTGTGATCGATTCTGAGCCATGTCACCAAGAGTCTCCAACCATTGGTTACGATAGTCACGCGGACCCCAAACAAGTAGTTTGCATCTACCAACATGGTTCAGACTAAAAGTTAATGACTTCAATCACTGGTGCCACCACTATCTAAGAATGTACTTATGAAAATCCCAGCAAATGAATTTGAAGTAAATCGGACGTTTCACCTGGCAATCTGGTCTATGCTTTTTCAAGGAAATTTAATCAAACATCAAAATTATCGAATGTAAGTAGATACATGGTTGGTTATTTATCCACATTTTATGCATACTGTTACATTTTTGATTCATATCATTTTTTCAAAACCTAACGAGAGACAATATACAGTGAATGAAATTTCTTCTCATACCACTTACGTATACACACATTCTGTTATTGATGGAGTTTTGTTCTCTGAGCTGGATGTTTTGATCGTGGAGCTTTCATCGTTCTTCCGAACCACATCATCAGCATAAACTTCAGATAGAAGACTTCAGAAGAACTATGGAAGCTCTACGACCAAACCATCCAGCTCAGTGAATAAAACTCCGTCAAAATCATCCACCTGAGCTACAAATCTTCTTCACCATCTCACATTCTGTTATTTTAACGCTTCGATTCATACTACTTGCCTCTCACACACTAATACAAATACCTACGTTGAACATTGTTAACATAGATTAGATGGTGTATTCAGTATACAGAGAACTGGAGAACCATGTACCTATTTATATTCGATAATTTTGATGTTTGATTATATTTCCTTGAAAAGCTTGGACCAGACTGCCAGGAGAAACGTTGGATTTACTTCAAATTCAAATACATTTTTACTCTTTAATGAGGGAACAAATTGTTTTGATGAGATTGTGATAATTTTTAGGTTACGGTCAATTATAACCTTTTTATTTTACATAGTTTATCTCATCTGTTCAGTTTGATAAGTTTATGCATAAATAAACGAGTGGGAATTATGTCACTGTTCACAAATGATTGATTATTGGGTAATGATCAGGGTCATATGTATCAGGTCTTTCTTAGTGCAGATCGAAATCATTGATAGCCCGGATAGCTCAGTGATGATAAGATCTCTGACTGTGAAGCTGGGTGACACGGGATCGGATCCGTTAAGAAGTATCAGTTTCCTCAAGATTACAGGTACACCTTGCTGAAGAGTGCCAAATAGCATGAAATCCGGGTCCCAGGTTTCTATTGACTACCTCCAACCATTACCTTATTATGTCAGTGTTTTTTCTGTATAGAATAACAGATTGGTTGTCCCTATCTAAGTTCTCATTCAATACAGATTATTGAAATTAATTTTAGAATTCGCTAGATTTTAACAACTTTACCAGGTTAAATTATGACACTTTCTTAGTGGTATACGAGGCGAAAACGTGGAGAACCGCGAAAGCCATCACCCAGAAGATTAAAGCATTTATTAATAGCTATCTACGCAAAATACTTCAAGTCTGCAGGCCAGACACTATCAGCAACAACCTACTGTGGGAGAGAACAAAGCAGATCCCAGTGGAGGAATAAATCAGGAAGAAGCACTGGAAGTGGATAGGACACACATTGAGGAAAGCACTGAACTACGTCACAAGGCAAGCCCTCATATGGAATCCTCAAGGCCAAAGGACAAGAGGAAGACCAAAGAACGCATTACGTCGAGAAATGGAGATAGACATGAGAAAAATGAACAAGAATTGGATGGAACTAGAAAAGAAGGCCAGGAACAGAGTGGGTTGGAGAATGCTGGTCGGCAGCCTATGCTCTATTGGGAAAAACGGGCGTATGTAAAGTAAGTAAGTAAACCGAGTGGTATTCAATAATAAGCCTATGTGATATAATTGTAATCAAGATGTTACTCATTGTTTTCATGATAAAGACGTCATCCTTGATTGTTTAGTTGAAATGAACTGGAAAAGACCTCGTAAGTTCAATTTGTCTTTGATAGTGGATATTCTTCATTATTGATTTGTTTTCTTTTTTAGGATAGAATGGAGAATACCTAATTCTGAGAAGTCATTTAATCATTTCCTAACAATGATCTCAATCAGGTAGTTTAGAGAGATTATTTACAACTTCAAGTTAGGTTTTACCATCACTGGGCAATGAATAGCACTGAACTGATTGAAACACCTCAGTGATATTTAGTCAAGAATTTATATTTGTACGAACAAACAATAATCTTTCAGTATATTTCTGAATATTATCGGATCAGGATATGGATATTATTGTTGAGAACAAAGTGAAAATTGACTTGTATCCCCTAACAGAACCTCGGATCTCCAATTGGTGTGCGAACATTTATCCGCTCGACTAGTGAGTCTATATACAATGTTGTGAAACTCTAAGTTCAATCAATCTGACTATCTACTAATGTTCACGGTGTGTACCATCCTCACATCCGACAGCGTTCCTACATTCCAGTGTTGATGTTCACATTTGAATTTGAAACCAATACCTTTCACTACAAACATCTACAAATTATCCACTGAGCTAATTAACCAAGATAGCTAACAGACTGTGAAACAAAAATTATAATACAAACCCCGAAATATAAAATTCAAACACGTAGCACAATCTGATGACTGTCTTGATCCAGAATCTCAGTAGGTAATGTATCATTATTTAAAGAAAGAGACACTAGGTTCTAACCTCAATCTGAAAAAATCGACACCGGTTTCAGTGCATTTAGGTGACGAGTCTCAAATAAAATGAAACAAAAGTCTTAATTCTGCTTATAGTCGTTATCCAACTTTAATAAAAATCTAGCTGAGTACAATAGCTCACTGGAGTTTCACTAGGAATACAAATAAATGAATATTATCATAATCATGAACTGATCAATGTAGGACCACCATTAAAAATCTGGGAGAATTGAGCGGCCATTTCATCCTATTTTTCGGGGCTCTTCAGCAGTCTGAACCAAAGAACCCCCCCCATGGATCCAAACCCAACATCTTCGGTCATGTATGTGGACGCTTAACCTTAGGTTACTGAGCCGGCATCCAAAAATGTTAATGTCTAACTTTGTAGATCCAGTTAGATTTCGGTTCAGATACTCTGAAACTCACCTCTTAGTCAGTACCAAAACATTATTTCAGTAAAAGTTTCCAGGAACACATTCTTAACATTATAATCTCTATGAATTTCTCAGAAGTTTAAAACTACGTAACTGTTTAAATGAGATTCATAAATTCAGAGTTAAATTATTAAGGTAACAAAGTATATTTTAGTGGAAAGCAAGTCACCGGGTCATTAGAAAATAAAGTCATAAAATATAAACTACTCATAAGTAATCAACAGTCCGTTTGAAAAACGATTTTTTGGACGGTATGATAACATAATCAGCTTTGTTAAATATTGTCTCAATATTTCGTTAATTCAATGGGAATTACGTTTCATTAAAGCATACTTTAAAAAAAGACAGATAGTAACTAAGGACAGAATATAGGAGGGGGACTTAAACTTGGTTAAGATAACGCATTACGGATTTGAAGAAAAAGTTACTGAATCTGAGTCTGAATGTAGTTACCAACACAGGTACAGGTACGTGCAGCTGATGAGTCTCAGATAAGATGAAACTGACTCCTTGGATTTTATTGCTAGGGATTATCCAACCTTATTGAAAACTTGTGTATAAATAGAAATATTGAGGGAATCCGCCCAGTATGTATATATTCTAGAAGTGATTGATCAGTCAGAATTCTTAATATATCAACGGAAAGATACAACTACTTATAATTTATAAGCTTTTCGATTGGTAAAAAGGACTACAAACAACGAATTACTTAACAACTATTGTTTTATGTTTCCTTACTTCATAGTAATGTGATCATTGATTAACTAATCAACTTCAAACTAAACGAACCTCCCTAAACTGTTTATCTAAATAAATAAACGTTTTAGTACGTGGAATTTGTAGTGATTGTAGTATTTTCAAAATTGACATCACAAACTGATCTTATCTGTACCACCACTGAATGCCTGGAAGTATTAGATGACAGTTTCACCTTAGTATGAAACTCCTCAACAGTGTACACTCACGATCTCGCGCACAAACATTGAACCTCTAAAACTATTCAGTCAGCATCCAATCAGTGGATTCCGCATGCAGGATCATGTATACACACTGCTGAAGAGTCTTGTAAGAGGAAAAAACAGCCGTTGAGTGCTTCTAGCGTTTGATAGTGGTCTAGCTAATGTCGGTTCGTGATTTCGGTCGTGAAGATAATATTGAAATGAATCAGCTTTTTTTTTTCAAACAAAAAACATTTTACTCAACTAACCTTGTCTAATTGTGTATCAACATAATTTGCATTGCTTTACGCGTTTCCAAATCATCTGCATACTGTTTAACATCCTAAGATTTTATCATTTAAATATGAAAAACAACATGTATCAGTATTTAATTTATTGAGGGATTCATTTTTCGTCAATTATTTAGCACCAAGTTAAATAATAATAAAAATAAACAAGGATGGATAGTGGCTAGCAGTGATATCCAGGAGGGGCGTCTCGTCCTATTCGAGACTTGTCAGCTGTATGTACCTGCATCATAGATTTGATGTTCACTCTGGGCTGGAACTCAGTACCATTCGCTTCAGATGTCATTATGTTATCCATTTAGCTACTGAGTAAACATCAATTCTGGGATACAGGTACACCCAACTGACGAGTCCCAAATAGGACGAAACGCGCATCCTGGATTTCAATGCTAGTCACTATCCATCTCTGCTTAGAACGCTTGTGGATGAAGGTAATATCAAGGCAATCCGCACAGGATGCATATATTCGAAAAAAAGACTGATCAATTTCAGTCTTAAGCAACAATTGAAAGATTCAAGTAAACAATACAAAGTGAACAATAACAATAGAAAATTATAAGGATTGTCAATCTCAGTTAAATAGTTCAAGTGTACAAGATAATTGTTAGCGATTATTATTTTTAACGCAGATTTGGATTATACACATACACACACAGAGTGAACATCGATTCCTTAAGTCAGTCCGTTTTAATCAATGTAGAGCTTTGTACAAATGTACATCAGATCAAGTTGTCGGACCACAATAACATGAAGGAATACTAAAACTTAAAATCTTCAGTAGGATAAGGAATGAATATATATTTGTCATTCTGACTAGTTTTGAAGCATATCAAATAATGTCTTCAGTCACTGATCGTAGTTATCACACTGACCTCATTAATGTATTTCTATATCATTTAGTCTGACCTAGACTAACAGTAAACTGATGCTATGTTTAGGTTTGAGCGCTCTTAGCATTCTTTCAACTAAACTGTAACAGCTAGCACAAAATCCAAGTTTAGGATTATTATTAACTTTTAATCATTTAGGATAGATCGTTCATGAAATACATAGGCTGTCAGAGAAATACGTAAGCAAAGATTAGAAAAAAATTTATAAACTTTTAGATATAAAGACCAGAGAAATTTTAAGATACTATCGATTTGTATAAATATGCTTGTCGCATATCCGTTTCCAGTGTTTGAAACCTTAATAGACAATCTCAGAACTAAGGTTCTTCAACTGCCTCTCATTTTCTCACATATACTCTCTCAAATATCAGAAAGCTCAAGAAACCGTACATCTTTACTAGTGTGTGTTGATTATAATAAAAGGTCAACATAACCTCATTTATCAAAGAAACATGCATGTTAAAAGTTGGATTTAAGAAGCAGTCTGCAGTAGACTACTACTGGAAGCCTGAAAGTACTGGACGATCCTTCTGTCCTAGTATGGGACTCCTCATCAGTTCATCTTCACGATTTGGAGTGCTGGACCTTCGGTCTCATATGTGATTATTTAACCTTTAAAGTACTAAGCCTGCATCAAACGAAGTTAATGCCTAACTTGAATCGAAACCATTCATCCATTGTCTGAGATAGATAGCTGTCTCATTCCAACACGGCTTCCCACTAGAACTCACTAGGACATGAATTTATTGAAATTGAAACTTCTTGAATTCAATTCTATTTGAGTATATTGGGGTTGACTATTGATGTGAAGTTATGAAATAATACCAGACAATTATAAAAGGCGTCATGGCTTTTAAGCAATTACTCATGGAGAGTCAGTCGGTCAGTTACAATGTAGGACCAGGCACATAATACATCGGTCCAAGTTACCATACCTAGTTAGCACAACTACATGAACATCGGATTCATAGAAGTTGTTAATTCGATGATGGTACTATGTAAAAGAAAGATTGCATATAAAGATATAGTACATGAAGAAAGAATTAGTTCGTAGAAAGAAAGATGAAGTGATTTTAATCTCGTGGCTTAAGCGAAGAAGGAAAGTGTATACACTTACACCATTCTGGTCGATTCTCAGCCATGTCACCAAGAGTCTCCAACCATTGGTTACGACAGTCACGCGGACCCCAACCAAGTAGTCTGTATCTACCAACATGGCTCAGACTAGAAGTTAATGACTTCAAGCACTGATACCAAGTTTTGGTTTGGCCACCCTTAACATTCTTCCAACCATACCCAACACTAATCATCATTGCGCGTCGTGGTACTCGGTGTTCAGGCATACATAACATGTGGCCCAACCATCTCAGTCAATAAAGATTCACAACCTCATCAACTGATTTACCATCGTTCCTTAATACCCTGCATCTAACCTCGCTACTACTCACCCAATGATCCCAGCAGATGCCGACAACATTTCTAAGATATCGATAGTCAAGTACCAATAGCTTACGAATATCTTCAACTCTTAATGACCACATTTCACAGTCGTAAAGTAAAATAGAACAAATTGTTACACAGTATAGTTATCCCTTAATTATTAATAAACGAATATCTCACTTCAACAGTTTCATGGAGTTTTTTAAATTGTGATTGTACATTAGTAACCGTATTATTCAATTGATTAATTTGTTCTTGTAATACTGACATGGTATTTTGTAATTTTTTCAATAATTTCTTATCCTATTTTAATGTAAGTTAAAGAGATAGAAAAAAAAATGACCAGAAATGATAAAATGGAATATTGTACCATTTAAATAATCAACAAACTTTAAAGAATAATTCTGAGAAGTATGAGATCAAAGGTCTTGGAATTCAAGTTCCGCCTACGAAACCATCTTAAAATTAGGATGAAATGATTGTTCATTAGTTTCAGTTTCTCAATGGTGATCAACTATCAATCGATTTTATGATCTTAATCAATATCTGATGACATATGTGGATTTGATAGTCATTTTAATTAAGATGAATTATGACTAGTAGTGGAAACTAGAACTTACAGTTTATACTATTCAGGACTCATAATATGGATGTTCCTTGTTGACCCATGTTATAATTCATAGCGAAGAAAAAGTTTAGTCAGGTCAAACAAGGATAAAATACAAATGAAGTAAGGCTTTTTAATGATTGCCTCAAACAAATTGAGATCAGATATTATGTTAAAATCTTCTCAGTGTTTACTTGTAACTAACTGAAATTAAGTTATTAAATCTGTTAGCAAAATTAACTCCTAGTTAATACATACTGAAGCCAGTTTCAAATCGGTACACTCTGACCGATCAATCGACGCCAGTGGATAAATGGAGAAGATTGTGGAAAATTCTTATAAAAATTCTGTATAACTGGCTAGGTTTTTACTACTGGATTTTTGTTATTCAAGTCTACTGAAATATCCCTTGTGGTCTTCCAGTGGTTGTTGTGATTTGGGAAGAGATGGGTGTTATATCCCGACGAGAATAATGAATGGTAACTGTTGGGATCTATTTATAGACCAATACTAAACGTATATTTTTATCGTATAATTGTTAAATAACTAAACTATTCATATTCATGTCCCTTTTATTATAAGCCTTATTTTGACCTATGAACTATTCTTGTACGATTTACCATTCTTAAATTATGCCCTGTCCATTAATTACTACCTCCTACATTCACAGCCACTTTTGGCCAATTCTCGTACAAATGTTGTTTCACATTTTATAGTACAATGTGGTCTGTTTGATTATTATATAAACTCAGTATGTTTGAAATACATGATTTATATTGCAGAGTCTGAGATTGTTATTCTGCACTTAATAGGCTGAGCTAATCAGGAAGCAGGACCGATAAGGACTCTAGACTGTTCGTACTTGTTTTATGCGTCATTGATCCGATCGATAATTCATTGTTCACCAATTGCCTGTATCATTACATTAGATATTCATAGGGCAACAGGGCTAAAACTTATAACAATGGGTAAATTGTATCGTTCAATAATTATTAGATATTAGAAGAATGTGACAATAATAATCTTTCATTTAAACTTACATCAGACGGATAAGGCATATGAGGCGATGTTCCACAATCTACATAAATCTTCAAAGAAGAAGAAGACGACGAAGAAAAAGCAAATCAAATTACCAATTGATTGTTATCAATAATAATCAAGCAACAATAAATCAAACTGACATATATCATACTACTAAAAATCTGTGCGTTAGTAGTAGTTCAACAAACAGAAGAATTTTTCAACAATAAAAGAGCAAACAAACAAACAAAAAACTAACTCAGCTCACTGCAATGACTAATTTCAATAAAATAAAACACACTCAGTGAAACAAAATGAAAACCCAACTATATACATGAACAAGATAAATGACATTTCAAATACACATTACTGAATTGTGATAAGTAATAAATCCATGTAGCCTGTAATGGATCATGGAAAGTGAAATTCAATATTCAACGATTTAAAAGTTTTTCATTTTTTTTTGTATAAAAAGCAAACAAACAATCACTTTACTAAATTTACACAATTGTAGTTCAGTTTATGATTTTATTGAATTAAACACATAAAGATTGGTAAAAGGAGGCATCAAATAGATATGTGCCACATAAATCATTCGATTTGTGTTAGGTTGAAATATTACTCAGGTGCCCAAATCGAAACAGATGGTTTCCTTAGGAAGTCATATCCGGAGCCTCCGACCTGAAAGTCTGATCCACAAGGCATTGAAGCAACGTAAGGAGATGCAGTCACATGGTAACCGGTGACCAACAATAGGTTCATACGTCATTTGTTTCTTCAGGATACTGGAGCCCATGTATACAATTGGTTTGGAATCAGGGTTTTCCAACTCTCTTATGTGGATCCTCTTTATCGACCAACACGCTTAAAGCGTTTTCTCAATTTCGTAAACAACACCACCACCACGAGAAGGTAGCCAGTAGGACTTCCCTGGCAGTGGTCATATGCACGTGGACAATTGAGAATATTTCGAGAAGGAGAGCTAACTCTATCCACTCTCGGCCGTACCAGGGCATTTGAGGGCTTGTAGTTTGGTAATTATTGATGAATAAGAATGTAATTTCATCTGAAGTGTTTCAACTTGTATATTCTCTCCCCCTAAAATCTGAATGAAGATTAGTGAAGACTGTAGTAACTTTAATAGCTGAATTCATGAGTTGATCTAAGGTAGATGGAGACATTTATCTACTTTAGACGATGGATGAAAGATTGCAAAAGATCATGGATCGATTGAAGTTAGACATTAACATCATCGGATGTCGGCCAGCTCAGTGGTCTAGATGTTAAGCGTCCATGCACGGGACCGAAGATCCTTGGTTCGAGTTCTGCATGCGAGGTCGTAGATGGTCACTTCTAAAGAGTCTCATAATACGACGAAATGGCCATCAAGTACTTCTAGGTTTTCAATGGTTGCCTAACATCAATCGGTTCATGATCTTAACCAAAAACTTAATAATCTCCACAACTCTATACTGAAAGCAATTTAACTAAATATTGAAATACACTTGATTGTATTTAATGATTAGCTGTTTATCACATTATATTGATGATTATTATTATGTGCAATCTTAAATTGTTTTTAAACAGTCCGTTTATTAATCAACCTGGAAGTTGGTTATATTGTTTTCTTTTAAAATTATCAAGTTTTTAGCAACCTAAAGAAATATTCTGGTTAATTTTCGCCGTCGTGCTATTGATAAAAGAAATCAAATAAGAAGTGAATAAGTCTTCATTTCGATCTTCGCGCAGTCACAGTAGAGCGTGGGATTATCTGTTCAGACAAACAAAGCCTCTCAACATTCAATATAAGATAATAGGAAATACAATGCCTATACAAAATAAAGAAGTGAATGAATACTTGAAATATACTGTTTTGACATATGCTTAGCTGTTTGAAGAACATATCGAACTCAAAACAACTTTCAACCAATATAAAAGTAAGAATCTTAAATACCAACGTCAAGGCAGTTCTACTGTATGGAGCTGAAACTTGGAGAACTACAACAACTACAATCAAGAAGGTACAAGTATTTATAAATAGCTGTCTACGCAAGATACTCAACATCCATTGACCGGATACCATCAGCAATAGCCTTTTGTGGGAGAGAACAAACCAGCTTCCAGTTGGAGAAGAAATAAGGAAAAGACGATGGAAATGGATAGGACATCATCAAACTGCATCACGAGACAAGCCCTAACTTGGAATCCTGAAGCGAAGCGTAAAAGAGGAAGGCCAAAGAACACATTACGTCGGATAATAGAAGCAGATATGAAAAGGGTGAATAACAACTGGAAGGAGCTAGAAAGTATTGCCCAGGACAGGATTGGATGGCGAATGCTGGTGAGTGGCCTATGCTCCTTCACGAGGAGTAACAGGCGTAAGTAAGTAAGTTAATTAGTTAGTTGTTTGACGTGAACTCTTAACCAATCAATCTAAGTTGTTACAGATATTCAGAAGCAGACATGCAAAGGATGAATAGTAACTGGAAACAACTGGTAAGAATTGTCCAGGATAGAGTTGGATGAAGAATGCTAATGAGCGGCCGATGTTCCTCCACGAGAAGTAACAGGCATAAGCATGTAAATTTTGATACAGCTATGAAAATAATATCAATGTTTATTATTTTAAAAACAAAACTATCTCACAATAAACCAAACACACCGACCCACCTTCAACAAACCACGTCAAAAAAGCACAATAAATACATATCACAAACGTAGATGGTTAAAGATAAAAGTAAATCATAATAATAACTAATTGCCAAATATATTTAGATTAGTTAGCTGGTGAATTATATAAGACAGTTATAGAAACAATAAAAAGTGATTAATTAGCTGACTGATTATGAGAGTAAACCGGTGCATTGAAACATGTGAAATGACACACAGAACTAATATACACATATACAAACACACACACACACATAGGAATGTACACACACACAGAGACACACGTTACTATGTGCATTGTCTATATTACTTCTTAATTTATATACATATTTACCTTTTCTCTTTCTTTGGTTAACTCTTTAACAATAGCTTCTAAACTATATAGTTTTTCATATAATTCTGTTGGTACACCCAAACCTTCTAGTTCACTACGATCAGCTTTTTGTTTTATAATTCCCTAAAAGAATCCAATGAAGATATAAATATTAGATCATTATGAATTGTGTACTGTTTAAACGACTGACATTATTTTATATTCTGTTCTCAGAAAAGAAGGAAATGTTCCTCAAAGAAAGAAAAAAAGAAACAAAGATAGATAGATAGATAGATAGATAGATAGGTAGATAGATAGATAGATAGATAGATAGATAGATAGATAGATAGATAGATAGATAGATAGATAGATAGATAGATAGATAGATGTGTGGATAGATAGATAGATAGATAGATAGATAGATAGATGTGTGGATAGATAGATAGATAGATAGATAGATAGATAGATAGATAGATAGATAGATAGATAGATAGATAGATAGATAGATGAATACTTGCCTCACATTCGATATAATTTAGCTCCACTAGTTATGTCACTTCACTAGAACTAAGAAAATTACCTCTCAAAGCTAGTCACTACTAAGCACGTGATAAATGTCAGAACGGGATTTTAATGATAGTTGAGCATCATTAAAACCATGAACCGTTGCATAATGTGTGGTTTAAATAACATAATTCGATTGTTCCATTCTTAATAGTCGATTGATTGTGTCATTATTCAACTTTTCTTTTGTCACTTAATAATTTAAAAGATTTTTTGGATATCTCTCTCATTTATAAGTGATTTCATTCAAAGATAGATACTATTTGAGGTTTACTCGATTTACATGGACTTGATAATTACCTTGTTTCTGTTAGAAACTTTTCTAGAGTGTACGCCTAAGACATTGCTAGAAGACGGAAATGAAACTTTCATGTCTCGTAGGGAGCTTGTTAATATCAGATCATTAAATTTGTATCCAGTAACTTATACTCTTAATTCCAATCAATTTACAATAATGCATAACCATTACACAGTATCATTACTAAATCCTGTTAGTTTCTTACTAGAACATTAGACATCCATTTTTAAGCTTTTTATTTGTGAAACTAACTTGATTTACAAGCATATAATGACTAAAGTTAGGGATGTAGACCGCTAGATCCCAACTCATTGATTTAAACGGTAAAATTCTTGCTACAATCCTAGATGTTCTGATTCTCCTGTAGTGAACAGAACACCGATGGGAGCGATCGAATGTATCTGACACAAAATTACAGAGCATCTCAATAAAATCTGAGAACCATATATTAAGTCATTAATTTGCAAAATGTCCACCAATTGTCTCAAAATGACTCAGAATTGATTGTCTTTACATTTTCATACAACTTGCATTCTATTCCCACCCTTACTTTCTTGATATTCCCCCATCTTCTCCTGCCAGACATTACATTTCTGACTTGCATAATATACTACTTATATCAATATAAATAGCACGCACCACACTCTTAATATTGTTTCGGGTATACACTGATAGGGTTGTAAAACAGAGTCAAACAAATATCCAATATGCCCAGATTTCTCATCACACTCAAACTGATGTCGATTCAAGACAAATAGCTGTTATATGAAAAACGACACAAATGATTTACAACAAAAGATTACAACAATAATGACAGTAATAAGAAAGATAGTCAGTCAGTCAGTCAGTTATAACATAGTGCCAAGTACAGTAATATATATTGGTGATTGTGTGCATGTAAGTTATAAACCATTCCGTTTATGGATGTGTGCACATGTATGTACATTAACTAACCTTTTCTAAATCTGTGTCTTGATGAACAGAGATCTAAAATAAGAAATTGGCTTCCTAAATAATAGTTTTCCTTAAAAGTAAAATCATTTTCTATGCTTAAGTCAATTTGATCCATGTCAAATTACGTATTATACATAAACCTTGATTGGTATAGAAGTAGGTTGGGAAGCGAATTAGAAATGACTAAGTTAAAATGAAACATTAGTTGATAAAGTCACTGACTAAGTAGGTTTCTAAGCTGTTCACTTTCTGGTTAACGTTGTTTTTATCGAGTTAGTTTTTTACAGGAGGGAACCAGATCCCAGCGGATGAATAAATCAGGAAGAGGCACTGGAAGTGAATAGAACACACATTGAGGAAATCACTCAACTGCTTCACAAGGCAAGTCCTCACATGGAATCCTCAAGGCCAAAAGAGAAGAGGAAGACCAAAGAATACATTACGCCGAGAAATGGAGATAGATGTGAGAAGAATGAACGACAATTGGATTGAACTAGAAAAGAAAGCCCAGTAGAGAGTGGGTTGGAGAAGGCTGGTCGGCAGCCTATGCTCCATTGGGAGTAACAGAAGTAAGTAAGGCTGCTCTCTTCATATGTGAGACAAACTATTATTCTTAATGTAGCAGAGTTTGGTACAACATAGAACTATCAGCACAAAGTATTTCAACAAGCTTCTGTTCTTTATTCCTTGATAGATCCTAACGATAAATATTGAGTGGTAGCCAATTAGAAGTTAGCAGTCCAGTCAACTGACAACTAAATAATGTACATTATTTTCGCTACATATTACCAGCAACCACGATGTCTCTGAATAGGCTCTTTTGTAAGTTGTACAGTAAAATATTGTAAACTTTTCACAAATGGACCGGAATAGGTTACTTGATTAACAAACATAATGATATGTTAAACCAAACAGAAACAACTTGTTGAAATATCTAAATGACAGGAACAAGTAGACCAGATATTCAAACAGGTTACCTATACTAACTCATTAACAAAATATTGATCATACGTGACAAAACATTTACATATGGTACTTTTCATTAGAATATTTTACATACATTTTTTGTTTTAATCATACTCTTTATCGATTTGTTCAGTGTTACCTAAGAATAACTGACGAACAATCTCCAAATGTTCTTGCAACACTACGTTAAACGTTAATCTATATTCTATCCAGCATAACTTGCATTGTCTTTTCTCTTAATGAAGATAATCATGGTAAAGAAGATTTGTAGCTCAGATGGATGATTTTGATGGAGTTTTTTTCGCTGAGCTGGATAGTTTAGTCTTGGAGCTTTCATCGGTTTTTTTGAACCACATCATCAGCACAAACTTCAGATAGACGATGAAAACTCCACGACCAAACCATCCATCTCAGAGAACAAAACTTCATGAAAAAGAAGATAATTATTTTGGATAGTCCAAATTTTTATTTATTCTTTGTTCAGTTTATTTGCTAGTGTAATTGATTATGAAGATTATTATTAGGTAATTGCTTGAGTGACGGTGAAGTGACCTTTAGAGTGGATACTTACAGATTAGAACTAAATGATGGTTATAAAGGAGTTAGGATTCTCATTTACAGTTGACGGTTAGGGTTAAAAATTAGATTTAGGGTTTTTATCATGAACTGATATCAGCTATAATGCTAAAACTCTATTTAGTCAAATGTATGGATGAATTTCGCGCCAAAATTCGTGACTCGTTAGATTATATCTGATTGGTTCATTCATAAATTATAGTTTCACCGAAGTTTTCAGAAATCAGGAATATATTAAGAAAAATACTTCAAGAGATATTAGTTATTCAGAAACTTTTAAAAGAATTCTCAAAGGGAAATGATAAGTTAAACTTGACAGTAGAATACTTCTAGGAATTAGAAAACAGTTAAGAAGTTGATATGTAAACATTCAGATACAAAGCATGTCAGTTCTTATCGGTTTAACAAATACACAAGTCATTATGTGTACTTTCTAAACTTATGATGATATTGGATTTAAGTTAACGAACAGTAATATTTTGACTTTAACTGCTTGTGGATCAGTTTATGCAGCTGGTTTTATTTAAACACATAAAATTGGTAAAGGGGGCACCAAATATATATGTACCACAATTCGGTAACTGATTTGTACAATGGCCGTAATACTACTTGGTTGGTTAAACCGAAACAGGTGATTTATTAGGGGCTCATAACTCGTGCCTTTGACTTGAAAGTCTAATCCATAAGGCAGTAAAGTAACGTTAGGAGATGCAGTCCCATGGTAGCCGACAGCCAACACTCGGTTCATATGCCATTTGTTCTCTCAGGATCCTGGAGCCCATGAGTATCATCGAGTTGAAAGTGGAGTTTCTGAACTTCCCTAGATGGATCCTCCATAACCACCATCCCGGTTTGGGTACCGGACATTCCCTTTTTGTCTTCTCAATTTTGTGAAAAATACCCCTTCTACAAGATGGCAGTGAGTAGGACTTCCCTGACAGTGGTTGTATACGTGTGAGAGAGGATTTTTAGAGGGATAGTAAATTCCTTTCATTCTCTGCCGTACTAGAACATTTTGGGAAAGTATTCAGTTAGTAATAGATCTTCATTTGAATTATTGAGGTGGAAATTATCATAGACACGTTATCAATGAGTAATGATGTTAGATAATTCAAAACGGTTGGAAAGAATTCCTATTTCATGTAGTTTTCATGCTATTAAAGCCGTCATTTTCATGTAAGATCAGAATGGAATAAAGAAACACATTCCATATAAACACCAATTAACACAAAAAAAACGATGTGAAGCAAGACCCTATTGTAGATTGCCTTGGACTGCCTAACATTATAGTTTCTTGTTGTCATTTGCGTTGATCTTTACCTGTTATTATTTGCCTTTAAATCTTTCTTAGTATTCAAAAGAAAATAGTCAAAGTCAACATAATTGGTTGTCTCTAATTATTAAATATTACTAGCTTCTGATCGTTCTTTTTATGATCTAGGATAACGTTGAAAACACTTCATCCATTCATTGGTGAGTAGGAACCCAATAGAAAGTTCCAGAATAACAATCAATTGTGTGTTGTATCTTGATCAGATAACTACAGATGTTATAATTTATTATAACATGTTTCTAGTCGCATCCAGTGTACCAAGATCACCCATAAATCTGTAGTGACCTAATTTTATCAAGAGAACGCGATTGGTTTAATGGAAACAATTATTATTATAACCATTTGTACCAGTGATTGTTTTACTGTACTTGTTTGTTTAACTGCACTAAAGACATACTTTCTTCCGTTGATTGTGATCTTGCACGCACTTACGTTTGCTCAGTGATTCCGCCTGTACTTCTTTGGCACGATCTTGGTATTCTTTCGATACCACGAGATCGCCAACAAATATATCTCGGTACAACCTCCAATCGTCTTCTGATATCTGGTACGCAACCTTCTTGCAGTGGTGATTATGATCAACCGCGACTCGACGCTACACTACAAATCCATAAACATTTCTTTATATTCATCATACGAAGTTACTTAATTCACTATTAGAACTATTCAACAAATTTAATAAAATGAAAGATGGACTATATTAGTATTGTTGTTGGCATCGATTACGTAAAAGATATTCTCAGTGTGAAGTACTAAATAGTTTTTGATGGAGTTTTGTTCTTTGTGCTGGATAGTTTGGTCATGGAACCTTCATCATTCTTTTGAATGACATCATCAGTACAAATCTTCTCCACCAGTATTGAATAATTTCAATTCTTTCTTCTTGGTTCACTTGGTATTGTCCTACTTGAATCTTCCCATTGATGTTTTAGGACTGAAATTGATCAGTCTCTTATTGGCATATGTGCATACTGTTCGTATGCCTCGATATTGCCTTAATTTACAAGCATTATAAGCAAAGATGGATAGTGGCTAGCAGTGAAATCCAGGACGCGCGTTTCGTCCTGTTTGGGACTCGTCAGCTTGATGTACCTGCATCACAGAGTTGATGTTCACATATGCCAATAAGAGACTGATCAATTTCAGTCCTAAAACATCAATGGGAAGATTCAAGTAAAACAATACCAAGTGGATTAAACTTCACCCCATTACACAAGCAAGTGGCTATCAGGACTCAGTAGCTAAGTGGATAACGCGATGACGGTACTGAGTCCGAGTCCCAGAGTGAACATCAACTGTGAGATGCAGGTAAATCCATCTGAAGAGTCCCAAACAGGACAAACGCGCGTCCTGGATTCCACTGCTAGCCACTATCCATCTTTGCTTTGTTCTTGGAGTTTAATTTTAAAATTTTCTAGGTAACAATCTAAGATTAAGCTATCAAGTGATACACTTCAAACGGTCTAGTTTCCATTTAATATTGATTATATTAATTCAGTTTGATGATTTCCACAGATGATTATTGATTTTATTATTGATTTTATCTCTCATTACTGTTCAGTTATTGATTGTGAATAATGTGAAGATGAAAGTTATTTTATTGGTGTATAATAATGTTAATTCTGAGCAAAACTACATTTTATGGATGAACCAATCAGATTTAAGATAGCAGATCTTGGATTTAGGCGCGAAATTCACTCATTTGATTAAATAACATTTTGGCATTATAGCTGATGTCAATTCATGATGAAAAACTATAAATCTGAATTCCTAACCCTAACCATCAACTATGAATCATAATCCATATTCTTTAAACTACTTTATAACTGACATTTAGTCCTAGTAAGTAGATAAGCACTCTCAATATCACTTTAGCGTCGTTCAAAGATTTCACCGTCTTTTGATATACATCTCATCAGTTAAATCATTAAAAATAAACTATTCTTTTGGAAGAAATACAAAAATGACGTAACATATAAAAAAATTATCAATAAGATTGAATATTCACACTTCCAAATGGTCGATAAATATTGAGTGATGGCCAACTAGATGTTAAGAGTTTGGTAATCGACATCTGAATAATGTTCACTCGTTTCAATCCATATTGCCAGCCACCATGTTTTCGCTGATTGTACCTTATTGTAACCCGTATAGCGAAAGGTTGTAAGCTTTTCATAAACGCGCCTGAATAGGTTGTGAGCTCAATATGCATAAAATGATGTGTCAAAACAAACCAGGTAATAGATACCTTGACGAAATATCTAGATGGGAGGAACAGGTAGTCCAGATATTCAAGCAGGCCACCGATGAGTTATGATGAGTTATTCATTCATAGAATGTACAGCGTAAATCAATTTATTCTCTTCATGTTCTGATTGACTATTGGTGATTAAGTGGAGTTGTGTTGACCATTCAGTATCAGAACTTCCGGTCATGGATGTAGGTCATTTGTATTATTCGTTAAGGAAAAAGTTAATAATCTGGTTAGTAGAAAGTGAAATTGCCCTTAAAGTACTCTATAGTTGAGTTGCTACTTATAAGTAGTAAAATTAATAATAACAAAGAAAACGAAGATTAAATAAAAACATTAGTAAAACTTTAAGCGTATTTACTTCAAGTTGTTCAATTCGATTAACTACTGAATCAAATCCAGAGGCTACATTTCCAAGTTTTCGAAGTGTAGACGATAGATCCGGATCTGGACATTCAAGCTAGATGATGAATAAACAGAAAATAAACAAATTGATCATATATATTTATTTCGTAGCGTTTTACTAAATAATACTTTGATTTCATGTTATTACGAATCCGTGTTAGGAATGTGAATTCAGGTCAACTGATTCCATAACCTTGGACTGAATTAATCACATAACAAGCTTCAAATGGATTACTTTTGCTACGAATCTGGTAAGAAAATCAATATCAGATTCGACAGCTTTCCTTTACTGGCTAGAATATTGACAGATGTAAATTTTATCTGACTGAAAAGTTGTTGTTAGATCATCAAGCATAAGCACAATGATCATGTTTCCATGTAACACAACAGTTCACATATAACTTTTAGTGAGTTGACATTGGTGTATCGATTAACCGACTTCAGTCTAAAATCTAGTTGGCTACCTATAATTGAGATCATAAACTGATCAATGTTAAAATATTATTGAAAGCCTGAAATCACTTGACTGCCATTTCGTTCCAGCATAGAACTGCTCAGAAATTCCATGTATAGGATCGTGCATGCTCGCTATTGAAGAGTTTCATACTAGGGCGAAACGATCACCTAATTCATCCAGATTTTCAATGACAATATAACATTGATCAGTTTATGATCTCAATTAAAACAAGATTATCTAAACACACGTATATATATATATATATATCAGATGGATTTTGTGGATATCATAGTAATTTCAGTGGTTAAGATCATGAATCAGTTGAAGCTAGAGCAACATGGAAAACCTGGAAGCACTGGACGGCCGTTTCGTCCTACTGTGGGACTCCTCAGAAGTGCACATCCACGATCTCGCCTCGCGAGATTCGAACACAAGACCTATCGGTCCCACACGTGAGAGCTTAAACACTAGACCACTGATCCGGCAGGTTCCATTTCTGGTGATGTCTAACTTCAGCTAATCCATGAAACTGGGCGAGACATTCACCATTGGCTTCAATGAGTTACTATCTCACAACAGACCTGGTTGAAATCCACTGGTCACTACTTCTCACTAGAACTCCAGGATATACCACTTGAAGCCAGTCAATAAGGGGTCCCACAATGGGACGAAACGGCCGTCCAGTGCTTCCAGGTTTTCCATGGTGCTCTAGCTTCAACTGACTCATGATCTTAACCATTAAAATATATATAAGATTTTTAGTGATCTTTAATGTTCAATCTCTTGTCTATTCATGGGGGAAAAACGAACATTTATCATTTAAATGTCATGTAAATATTTGTATAATTAACAAATACCTTAGTTAGTCTTTAACTATAAACATGAAAAGAAAAAAGAAAAAAGCTATGGAGAAGAAATACCACAATGAATATTATAAACATAAGAGAACAGATCATAAATCATTTGTACATTCCTGTTATTGTCAGTTATAATTTAAACATATGCACATATATATGTTAACAGATATTGAATACAACTTAACCACTAGACCACTGAGCCGGCGAAACCATTAGGTCCTAATTTATAATCTCGCAGGGGGCGAGGTAGTGGATACGCACTGCTGAGGAGTCCTACAATAGGACGAAACGGCCGTCCAGTGCTTCCATGTTTTCCATGGTGGTCTAGCTCCAACTGACTTATGATCTTAACCATTGAAGTCGTGTAATTGTTTTGTAATTACTTGTCAAATGTTTTTTTCTTTTGTTTACATAAATACACCTTTTTTGTCTACTGATCTATACACGTCGGATGGAATTGTTTATTTTTAGTGATTAACATTATCTTATAAATTGTTGGTATTCCTTAGTATGACGTAAGATATATATGTATAAATAAGTGATATTTAGTAAAGCTTAAAGATTCGAAGAAGACAAAAATTAAGATTGTGGATGCGCATTGCTGAAGAGTCCCACAATAGGACGAAACGGCCGTCCAATGTTTCCACGTTTTCCATGGTGATCTAGCTTCAATTGACTCATGATTTCAATCAGTGAAATTTCCAAAATCTCCACAAAACCTCTTCTGATAATAATCATCTGCTCACGAGTGACTGACTTCAAGAGATACTCCTGGAGTTTCTTGTGAGAAGCCGTTACCAGTAGAGTTCAACCAGGTCTATTGTGAGAAATCAACTCACTGAAGACAATAGTGTACGGTGGTGCAACTTCGTGGATTGGTTGAAGCTAGACATTAACACCGTTGGATGCCGGTTCAGTGGTCTAGTTGGTCAAGCGCCTGGTGCGAGACTGATAGGTCCTGGATTCGGATCTTGCAGGGTGTGGGATCGTGGATGCGCATTGCTGAAGAGTCCCACAATAGGACGAAACGACCATCCAGTGTTTCCAGGTTTTCCATGGTGATCTAGCTTCAATTGACTCGTGATTTCAATCAGTGAAAGATTGTTTACATTGATATGAAAGTTAATTAACCATCGAATTCTATACATTAAGACAGATATGATTAAACAACACTATAGTGTATGTGCTACTGATGACGGCAGATATAAGTACTATGTATCACTGATCGAAATCAAAAAGCTTAGCGGCAAAATGTTTAAAAGATCGAAGAGAAAAGAACTATAACAGGAACTGATTGGTATTGGAAATGAATGAACAATAAAGTTTGTTGAGAGTTGATGGACATTTTGCAAATGATGTACTTACTCTATAGTTCTTAGATTTTTCTAAAATATTCTGTAATTTGTGTGTTTGAATACATGCGATTAACTCCTCTTGTGTTTTTGTTCACTACAAGATGACCTTAATCATTATTTTATCTTTTTCATAAAAACACATTATTATTTCATTATTTCTTTTAATATAGCGCCTAACAACCAAGAATTTTTACGTCTGATTAAGAATGAACACGACATTTGCATGGCCAAGGCTGTTTTTGCTCCCAGTGTACTAAATACATTCATGGATTGGTTGAAGTTAGACATTAACACCGTTAGATGCCAACTCAGACATCTAGAGATTAAGCGTTCGAGCGCGAAACCGATGGTTCTGGATTTGAATCCCGCGAGCCGGATCATGAATTTGCACTGATGAGGAGTGTCATACTGGGACGAAACGACCATCCAGTGCGTCCAAATTTTTCATGGTGGTCTAGCTTCAATTGACTCATGAACTCAACTATTAAAATTACTATAATTTCCACGAAAACCCCTTCTGCTGATACTAAATATTTATTTGTTTTGCTCCTTCGTGCTACTAAAATTTGCGTTTATTTTATTTGGTTATTTGTTTATTCATTGATGAGATGACATAAATGAGGTCGCAAAAGAGTCGGAACTTCAAATTTTCTTATTTATTGAAGGAGGTATCACATATATATCAGTTAATTATCATAAATCTGTCATGATTCACTCAGCTAGTCAATCAGCTACAGAGTAGGACCAGACTCATAAATGTATCGGTCCAAGTTACTATACCCCATGAGTACAACAAGATGAACACCGAACTCATGTTTCACAATCGTGATAAAAAGGATTTTGGTACTAAGTCTTTTTTAGTAGTTGAAATCATAAGTCAATTGAAGCTAGACCACCATGGAAAACCTGGAAGCACTGGATGGCCGTTTCATCCTATTGTAGGACTCCTCAGCAGTGCGCATTCACGATCCCACACCCCTCGAGATTCGAACCCAGAATCTATCGGTTCCACACGCGACAGCTTAACCTCTAGACCACTGAACCGGCATCCAACGGTGTTAATGTCTAACTTCAACTAATTCATGACATTGGGCGACATATTTCAATGAGTTACTTTCTCACAATAGACGCTCAATATCATGGATTAGTTGGAGTTAGACATTAACACCATTGGATGCTGGCTCAGTGGTCTTTTTTTGTATTAATCAATGTCAAAATCAAGGATGCAATTCTATAAAGAGTAAAATATTAACTTACAAATTCTTCTGGTAAACACTTTGTTAAACGATTTGATTCCTCTTTCATTAGATTATTATCAATAGTACTGACATGATATGATTTACCATTACCATTATTATTACTATTAGTAGTAGTAGTAGTATTGACTTGTGAATAAGCAGTTAAATAATCTACTCCAGTAATTGATTTGCCTAATGTATGCCAAAATACTAAACCACGTAATGCATCCATATGAACAACATTTTGTAAAAGAGCTGCTTCTTGATTCTTTAGCATAAAAAGAAAGTAATAATAATAATAATACAATTTTGATAAGTTTAATTAATTAATTTACTTACTTACGCCTGTTACTCCTAATCGAGCATAGGCCACCGACTAGCATTCTATAACTCATTCTCTACTGGGCATTCTTTCCTAGTTCCATCCAATTCTTCTTCGATTTTCTCATATCTGTCTCCATTTCTCGGTGTAATGTTTTCTTTGGTCTTCCTCTTCTCCTTTGGCCTTGAGGATTCCATGTGAGGGCTTGTCCTGTGACGCATTTCGATGCTTTCCTCAATGTGTGTCCTATTCACTTCCAGCGCTTCTTCCTCATTTCTTTCTTCGCTGAGATCTGGTTTGTTCTTTCCCACAGTTGGTTGTTGCTAATAGTGTCCGGCCAATGGATCTGAAGTATTTTGCGCAGACAACTGCTAATAAACACTTGTATCTTCTGAATGATGGCTTTTGCAGTTCTCCAGGTTTCCGCCCCATACAGTAGAAATGTCTTGACATTTGCATTGAAAATCCTGACCTTTGTGTTGGTTGACAGTTGTTTTGAGTTGCAGATGTCCTTCAGTTGTAAATACACTGCTCTTGTTTTACCTACCAGCGCTTCCATATCTTCATCAGATCCACCATGTTCATCAATGATGCTGCCCAGATATGTAAAGGTTTTTACATCTTCCAAATCTTCTCCGTCAATTGTGGTTGGCAGAGTTAAGTTTAATTAATTAATTAATATATATATATATAGGGATTTGTGGAGATTGTAGTTTCTTCATGGTTGAATTCACGATTCGATTCAAGTTAGATCACCATTGAAAACTTGGAAAAACTGGATGGTCGTTTTATTATATCATGAAACTCTTCAGTTGGACACTAACACTGTTGGATGCCGGCTCAGTTATCTAGAGGTTAAGCTCTTTTGTACGAAACTGAAGGTCTTGGGTCTAGGCCCCATGTACGGGACTGTGAGTGCACATTGATGAGGATCACCATACTAGGATGAGATGGTCGTCCAGTGTTTCTAGGTTTTCAACGTTGGTCTAACATTGGTCAGTTCGTGATTTCTATGAAATCTGACAATAACCACAACTTCAAACTGATGGTAAATTATCTTTATCTTTTCATTAGTTGTCAATCATAAATTTGACCTTGTCAAATTACTCACAGGTAACCTTGATCATGTTTTACATTTCTGTATCATGAAACATACATCTTTATCTGCTTCCAGTATCTCTTACATGTTTATGAAAGAGGAAGTCAGCTTACTATTCTCTAAGTCGGTGTATAATCGAACTTCAATACATTATATAATCTCAGCATCTTTCGTTTTCCTTATCAACATTAACATGTCTGAAATATATATGTATCCTAAATGTAATTCATATTCGATTTTCTTCGATAAACTGTTATTCTAAACGTGTAAAATTGACAGAACATATACAAAGTTATTTTTAAGCAAAGATAGATAGTGGTTAGCAGTGGAATCGAGGATGCGCGTTACGTCCTATTTAGGGCTCGTTAGCTGGATGTACCTGCATTCTAGAATTGATGTTCAAATAAGATAATATTTATTTTATTTGTATCAATATCATCTGATTATAATGGAGTTAGGCAACACCAGCATTAAACACAATAGAAACTTCTATCATTCTATGAATCACTGACAATATGATTATTTAGTGTTCAGTGAAAAGGTGAGAAGGAATGAAGATTTACTTATCCATTCATTGCATAAAGTCTTCATTAAAAAGAAGTAAACGACGATAACATTGTGTTTTTCAATCAATTAAAGCGATGTTATAGGTTTTTTTCCCTAGAAACTGTATTGGAACTGTTTGAAGTGAACGGTACTGGGTTCGAGTCCCAGAGTGAACATCAACTCTGGATGCACGTTCCAAATAGCACGAAACGCGCGTTCTTGATTCAACTGCTAAACACTATCCATCTTTGCTCACAATGCTTGCGACTTAAGGCAATACGCACAGTATGCACGCATGTCGATAAGAGACTGATCAATTGTAGCCTTAAACAACAATGGGAAGATTCCAGTAAACAGTACCAAGTGAATTCAATCCATTTGTATTTTTAGACCGTTATATTGATTTTCTTCACTTCACAAATTACATTTAATACGATAGTAATTATGAATTATGTTAATACTTGAATAGAAACTATTAACAGGATTTTTAAACTAACCTGACGTTTTTCAATTTCACCTAATTTTCGTGTTAATTCAGCCAATTGATCCTTTAATGCAGAGTTTAATAATGCCTGAATTTTGTTAAGAAAAAACAAAGCATAGAATGTAAAGGCAATAGTCAATGTATAATAAATAGAAGTTAATTTATATCAAAGAGTAATTTTAACTGGATACTTACTAAGAAATGATGACTCAATTTTGTGGATTGGTTGGAGTTAGACATTAACACCGTGGGTGGATAAAGTTAGCTCTCCCTCTTGAAATGCTCTCAAGTGGTCACATGCATAAAACCACTGACAGGAAAGTCTTACTCATTGCCTTCTCGTGACGGAGGTGTTGTCTACGAAATTGAGAAGACCAAAAGCGAATGTTCGGCTCTTCAACTGGGTCGGTGGATATGGAGGATTCACCTAGGGAAGTTGGAAAACCCCGATTTCAAACCAATGGTGCACATGGGCTCCAGGATCGTAAGGAAATGAATGGTTTATGAACCTATTGTTGGTCATCAGCTACCATGTGACTGCATCTCGTTATGTTGTTCCAGTGCCTTGTGGATGAGACCATTATGTGGAAGGCTGGAGGAGTGGCGCTCTAAGGAAACCACGTGGTTTGGTTTTGGCACCCGAGCAGTATCACAGTCCCCACATAAATCGGAGGACTTATGTGGTGCATATCTATTTGGTGTCTCTTTGTACCAATGTTTATATGTTTAAACAAATAAATACCGTTGGATGTCGGTTTAGTGGTCTAGAGGTTAAGCGTTCACGCACGAGATCGAGGGTTCTCGGTTCAAATTCCACGAGTGGGATCATCGAGGTGCACTGATGAGGAGTCTCATATTAGGAAGAAACAGCCTTCCAGTATTTCCATATTTTCCATGGTGGTCTAGCTTTAATCGACTCATGAACATTTATTTATTTTAGTTAGAAACATTACAACCTTGTCAGGAACTAAATATAGATTTGCAATTATCATTAGGTTTAGATCATTCAATTGTGCTATACCTTTCCAACTTTAATCGATTTATGATTCTAAGTTATCATTATTGGAACTGGTATTGTTGTTATCGTTCTGAAAACAATCAATACACTCATATTGATTACAGCTCTTTGTTAGAACTTCTTGAATTTAAACTAAACAAATTAATGCCAAATAAATAGTTCGATGTTTATCATAAGACAAAGTGAATATAACTTTTGTTTACGATTAGATGTTAGTCGCTACAAGATAATGTTGCTCATATCAATTCATAAGGAAAACTATGAATATGAGTTCTATTAAGAAAATACTGAAGTATTGGGCAGAGATAATATGAATATAACCAGAGAAGGAACACTTTAACCAAATATCGAAATTGACTCAATCTATCAGCTCATAAGAAGAAACATGAACAACTGCAAAGTCAGAGATTAGATCAAGAAAGACGATATTCCAGATGAACACAGAAATATTGATCATCAAGTTATGGACAACAACAAACCGAATTCCAAATCAATAAAACAAATGGTTAATAAATTGTGACAAAATGTTAGTAGTTCATTCCTTATTGAAGTGTCTGCTGATTATGTTTTCCAGGAGGGTAATGATGAGTAAACTATTCAGTTCAGTTAACACAACATGTTCAACACCCATATCTTGAACTATGGATATCCTACAGAATTATTCATTTTTTGGATGCTTATTAAGCAATAGACCGAATAGAAGATATTCAAAAAATCTCTCAAAAGATTTCTGGAAGTATACTATTTAAATCAATCTTCAAACAATAGACATTTATCAGAAGGGGTTTTGTGGAAATTTTAGAAATTTCACTGATTGAAATCATGAGACAATTGATGCCAAACCACCATGGAAAACCTGGAAGCACTGGATGACCGTTTCATCCTAGTATGTGACTCCTCAGCAGTGCACATCCACGATCCCGAGAGATTCGAACCCAGGACCTATCAGTCTCGCGCCAGGCGCGGTGGAGCAACTTCGTGGATTGGTTGAAGTTAGACATTAACACCGTTGAATGGCAGCTCAGTGGTCTAGTTGATTAAGTGCCTGGCGCGAGACTGATGGGTCATGGGTTCGAATCTCGCGGGGTTCAGGATCGTGGAAACGCACTGCTGAGGAGTCTCATACTAGGATGAAACGGCCGTCCAGTACTTCCAGGTTTTCCATGGTGGTCTAGCTTCAATTGACTCATTATTTTAATGAATGAAATAGACATTTAGACGTAGATCATATTTATCAATCTACATTACAAAAATCAACCAATCAAACTGACAGAAATCAACCAAATAAGACAGTCAACAAGGATACAAAGACAAATGAAACTGATCAAACTTTTGAAGACAATGTCTATAGTATAAAGAAACAGTTCAATTTCACCATTTATGAATGCCAAAGTTACAAAAGTATTCAATGAATTCTAAAATTTAAAAAAGGCTCTGAGTTATGTACTGGGGTTGCTGACTCTATACCTAACTCTCTTCCTTAACTCGGGCTTAGGATCGGCAGTAATAAGCTTAGAAGAGCTACAAGCAAACAATTTGCATCACAAAGCAAGCGCTTATATGAAATCCTGAAGAGAAATGGAGAAGAGGATTATCAAAGAACATACTGCGTCAAGAATTGGAAGCAGACATCAAAAGAATGAATATCAACTGAAAACAACTGGAAAGGATTGTACAGGACAGAGTAGGATGGAGAATTTTCGTGGGTGGCCGATATTCCTCCACGAGGAGTAACAGTAGTAAGTAAGTAAGTAAGTAGTAACTATTTACTAACTAGAAATGATGAGACATTAAATGAGGATCATTCTACATTAATAAGTCAGTTAAAATGAGAAAATTTTCCTTATTTGATTCCTACTCAGTAGATTGGTTGTACTATGGTCATTAAGGGATATGAAGATGTTGAATTGAGTCATTTATATGATTACGGGGTTCATACTGCTGAGAAGTCTTGAGCTAAAACGAATCAATTACTTAGTACCTATAAACAATCAATAATTTTGCACTTGACATAATTTAATGATAGAAATTATCCATGAATATCAATTATCTATGTGTGTGTGTGTCAATTGTCCAAGGAAAGAGATAGACAGATGCAACAATGTGATGACTAACACAATACTGTATATATATTAGTTCAAAGACACGATAAATCTTAGCAATGAATATTCACTAGAGAATGTGAATGAACTCAGATGATCTTTAACAATGATATTCAGAGCACGCAATTCATTCTACTTTAACATTATCAGTTAAATATCCTTTGATTATCAAGTTGATATTCATTTCAAGATTTGAAATTAAATACCTAACTCCTTAATTACCATTATATTTCTTAACCATCTATTTGGTTCAAATCACTATTCACTTATTCAATAGAATGGATCAATTACAGTCAATTAATGAGATGGTGGAGAAGATTTGTAGCTCAGCTGGATGATTTTGATAGAGTTTTGTTCTCTGATCTGGATGGTTTGGTTGTATAGCTTTCATCGTCAATGAGTACCAATCAACATCGAGGTGTACAGAACAAGCTGTGAAACACTAATGGAGAAATTCGAACACTTCACTTCTATCTGAAGTTTATGCTGCGGATGATGTCGTTCAGAAGAACGATGAAAGCTCCACGATCAAACCATCCAGCTCAGAGAATAAAATTCCATCACAGTCAGTTAGTATCGACAAAGGAAGAGTAAGAAGGAAAAGGGGAAGGAACTAATGAAGTCTTACAAATAAATGAATGAGGAAGACTTTTTTTCTTTTAGGAAAAACGTCGAAATCAATCATTCATTTTAACATCATCCCAATATTATTGACCAGATAATTATAGTCTTCATTAAAAATGTATTAGTTGTATAGTGAAGACAAAAGGGAGAAACGAAAAACATACTACTGATATTACTACTACTACTACTCTTACTATCTAAAAATGAATAAATTTTTAATGAGGAGCTTAGGAAAATGATTATTATAATTGAATATTGATTCATTTGTTTTCATTTATTGTTTTTATATATTAGAAAGAAAAAATAATGCCCGGTAATATCAACATAAGAATCTACATCTGAGTTGAAAATAAACACTGTAGATTATAAACAAAGATAGTTAGTGGTTAGCAAAGGAATGTAAGAGGCGTATTTCATTCTATTTGGGACTCGTCAGCTGGATGTACCTGTATCCCATAGTTACTATGCACCACAGGTCTCGAACTCAGTACCGTTCGCTTCAAATGCTATTGCGTTATCTACTTAGCTACTAAGTTCTGGTAGCTACATGACTGTGCAATGAGAACTATAAAAGTAAACAATACCAAGTGACTGAAGATTATATTTCACCAGTGGTGTTTTTTTACCTTCGTCTTTCATTTATCTTCAATCTAATAGGCAATAAACTGTAGATTATCGATGATTAATTCCGATACAACTCAACATCAGTTGAGAAGAAAGAGGTGAAAAACGAAAGAGAGATTGATAGGTGTTTCGATCCTCATTAACACTCCTGTCAACCTATAGTCAGTCAGTCAGACGGTCAGTCAGTAAAAACGTAGAACTTCGTATGTATGTACTTCAGTTTGAGCTTCCATACCAACCTACAGAGAATATAATTTATAATCTTAAGATTTTGTAGTAAGTAGAATGTATCAAAAATCCGATTCAATTTTTAACCAATCTAGTCCAGTAGTTTATAGATACTGGACTAACTTTCAGATGATTAGATCTTCAGCTTAAAGATCATATAGAGGTTGGAAAAAATTAGAATGAATCCCACCTTTGATTGTCTAACTGAGATCAGTATGTAGAATGCACCAAGCAATTTAACAATTTCCATACCCCTCCACACACACACACACACTGATAACTTGATTGATTGATAAACTTCATCAGTCTAACATTGGGAATAACGGTGTACTATGTTTTATTAAGAAACAAATCAATACCGGGTAGGCTTTGACCTTTCTTGTTGCATAATAATACTTTCCATCTTTTTGAGCAAAACCTCAGTGCTGATTGACGACTATTGATCCAACCACTGATCTAAATAACATAAGATGGTAAACATTATGTTTTCAT